AGTTGAATAGATTTAAAGAGAAATGGTTCAAAAATTTCAAACTAATAGTTTCAAGCTATTATTTTTCCAGAGTTGGGAAGAAAATGAAAAGCTCTTTATGGCCAAATTATTATGCAAAAATGTACGAAGTCCACAGCAAGAAAAACAATGCTTATAAAAAGCAATTCTCCTCTGAGCCTTAATGAAGAAATCTAGTTTTTTAAAACATGATACTTTCAAACTTATTTTCCTACAAAAATGCCAAGTAAGAACATGAAAACACTTGGAAATGTTGGAAATGTTTAAAGTATTAGGGAGCTCAAACTGAGGTCCTGCTTTCCCCATTTGCTATGTATTAGTTTGAATTAGATTCATAACAGGGGATGCCTAAGAGCCAAGATATTAAAAGTATAGTTCTGAAAATTCAACATTACAAAATTGTGAATATCCACTATGTGCATGACACTGTATATATCATTAAAGTAGCTGTTTATTTTGCCAAGAAATATCAGATGATTGCTATGCTATTAAAACAAAATATCATTTATTAGAATGATTCAGATAACAGAAAACAAAATACGAAGAAGGCTAAAAAGGAATAACCTATACTAATATTCAAATCATGAGATAGCCAGCAGAAGTATAAATGGGAGAGTGTTTACTTACAAAACTCTGCCTTATAGTCAAGTCTTATAATGAATCTCTTCTTTTAGAAGACTTCCATAAAAGAGTAAGAAAACCAGTTTCATTTTGGAATAACATACAGAGGTTATTCAATAAGGTAAATAAATACCGCCTTTAAAAAAAGACATACTTGATTTACACAAAATTTTAGGGAACATGTTTACTACTTTTTAAAAAATCCCCTAACCAAGTGTCAGTTTACTTAAACAAAATTTCATCTCAGTAAAGAAGTGACTTCAACATTTCCTTTCAGTAATTTACCAAGTTTTACCTGTGGATATAATAGATACCTGAAAGTTAAGTAATTCTCAAAACTGTATTTGTCTGAGTCAGAGGACTACAAAGATGGAAGAACCTACACCTTAGATATCTGTATCACCTTCAACAAATTATGTCACCCTTAGAAAATCCCTCCCACCCTAGTACTCAAGCATTTAAGAGGGTATTTCAATTATAATTACTTCAATGATCACTATTAGAATTAGGACAAGCAACTTCACTCTTGAATATTTCAGTATATTGGGGAATGATGGATGCAACAGAAAACAACTCCAACTGAGGAGTCTTAAAAGATGCAGTTATTGAGGAGATAGTAAAATATTCCAGTGGAATTTTTTTGTTATGACACAATTCTTTTTTCAAACATTAGTATCTTTTTTCCATGATTCAGTTACAGAGAAAAGCTTATATTCTAATTACAGAGGTGAAAATTTGGAATTCATTTAATTCATTTTTCTTCTTTATGTTTCCAAGAATTAAAACCACATAGAAACACAAGCTTGGGTTTGCTAAACATTGTACTGTAAGTGAACTGTTACTGTTCAGAGGAAAATGCTATCTGCATAGAACAGTGGCTTTAACACGGGAAGGAACAAAAGTAATCCAAGTCAATGTTTTGGCCTCTCTTCCAGTTCCCCCGTTACTTGCCCACTACAACATACACACATAAACACAACTTTTCCCACCAAATAAAAGCAATTTTTAGTTGGAAACAAACACGGATGTTTTTCATGTGTGCATATTGCATCAAATATTTTTCAGTAAGGATAAAAATGAAACTCAAAATAATCGTTCCAAAACCACAATTCAATATACTAAACTATGTGAAACAATTTCAGTTTTTGGCTGCCTGAAAATTTGTAATCCACCCATACTGATAAGTGTGTAACACCCAAACTCTTTTATTAAATAAATCAAATATGTAGTGTATACGCATACATACCACACATACACACCATCTTCCCACTTTTCACAGGGCTCTACATTAACATTTGCTCTAATGTGGTGAGATTTGGAAATATTAAAAATCACAAGCATTTCCAGATGACCTTTCAACCTTAACGTTCAATGCATAACTTTGGGATTAAAAATGCAGATTTCAGTATCCAGTGGCATTTCCAATGATTATTATCCTTGAGATTAAATTTAATAGTTTGAGGAGAAAATAACCAGTAAGGTTTTCCTAAAAGTGAAAGGGAAAATTTGAATGAAACATTTCATGCCTCCAAATAAAGAACGTCAAATTTTGTCAATTTACTCAAGTTCAATATAAATAACAACACCTTTACTGAGGCTGTGAAATATTATGTAACACAAGGTAAATTACATAAAATTACAAATGTCAAATACTTTTTTCTGTTTATTAACACCACAGTCAAACGTGAATATTAATATAGAGCCTTCTCTGCCAAAAGAGTATAAAAATCCTAAATTTAATTAAATTTAGGGGCCTTCACCAAACTTGCTGCAAGTTTGGGGACATGAATATCCAACAGCCATAAAGCTGTGAAAGCCCCTATAAGGAATAAAATAAATCCCACTTGCCTCAGACTGAACAGGGCAACACTGAGACTCAGCCTCAGCCTGTCCTATGGCAGGGCTATAGGAAGAAGAAAATTTTAATTTTAGAAAAACATTACCCAATTAATTTAAAAGACATGCATTTAAAAAAATCCCAATGATCAAGCAAGCAAAGGAAAAAAGAGTAGCTCTTTAAAAAAAAAAAAAAAAATCTATTGTCCATTATAATTCCACTCTGAGCCCATACTTTTACTGGGAATCTCGCCCACCTCTGCAAATAACTAAATTTAATTAAACTGAGTTTAAGTTCAGTATGTGACTTGATCAGTGGAACAGGAGTGCTCAAAGAATATTTACCCCATTCCTAACAGTAAAAGTGTGAAAGATTGCTAAAATAGTATTCAAATCAAATGATATCCAGCAGTCACTCAAAAGTTGATCCTCACCTGCTGGTCTTGTTACTGTCATACACACAATAGAAACTAGTGCCAGACAAAAATCGTTTTTGTTTTTTTAAAGAAAGTGGTTAACAGTGGATGTAACGTAGAGCCAAAACTGGCAGCCCCATTAATCTTACAACTTCCTAAATTATGGCAATCACAATGCCTGCCGGTATATACCAAGTCCCAAAGCTATCTTCTGTGAGGGCAGATGAAGTTTATTTCAACTCAACTCCATCTATTCTTTAAGAAAGCGTACGTCAGAGTTAATTGTTTCAACATAATTTGTTCCACTCGAGATTTAACCACATTATGGACCCCAGAAGCAATTAGGTAAAAGATATTTTCTAGAAGCTTAATTACGCTCTGATGCATGCACAAATTACACATTAAATATACCAAATGGGCACCATCTGAGCCATATACCTACAAAATACAAGAGATGAATGATGTGCCTAAGTGTTGTGTATAACATTTTGAATTAACTTTTAATTAGAATTCTAACACTTCTTTAAAAGTGGCAATATTTTCTCCTTTCTGACCTCAGAAAGCAACAAACCTCAATATATCAGTTCTCTTTGCATCAAGTGCAAATCAAGCTTTGCATAATTTTTGAAACATTACTAACCCATTTTTTTCCCTCTTCCTGATCCCTCTCCCCCACTGTATAATCCATTCGTCGTTTGTTGATAAGCCTGTACATGAAATGCTTGGGAGACATTTGGTTTGGGAGAATATTTCCTATTTAATAATTCTAAACTTAATTAATGCCATTTTTACCTTAAAAGATTTTCAACACAGGTCTTTCTTTGGTAGTATGATAAACATGCTGCCAAATCTAAGAAGTATATGATAATTTCAAAACTATTTACGTAGACAGGCGTTTGGTGAGAAAGGGGTAGAGACTTGGCTGCTGTCAGCAGGA